ACCCTATCTTGAAAAAGCCCATCACAAAAAAAAGGGCTGGTGGAGTGTCTCAAGGTGTAGGTCCTGAGTTCAAACCCCATTACCACACACAAAAAAAAGTTCAAGGGCTGCGTTGTTCCTTTGCCCTGGTCCCTTACCTCGACCCATGCTAACCACTCCGTCTCACCACAAGATCTGATCATAAGAACTTTTGCATACAGGCTACATCACCCTCCTTAACTTATTCCCTATGGTGAGATCTGCAGCAAAGGCCCAATTCTACGACAGCTGTCAGGGTTTCTGGGACCCCTGACATGATTTAGTAATTGACAATGAACTAGAACCTCAGACTTTTCAAATGAGGACATGTCAGAAATGACCTAGTTTGCAATATCTCATCCTTTTGGAGATTAAGAAATTTGTCTCAGCCAAATGAGCCACTTCACCAAGGAAATGGAATCTCCCCACCTGTAAGCTGATTCACAGCTCCCTGAAATCATCCACCATGAACTTCGGCATTCAGGAAAATCTGCCTCAAATCCTGCCCTGTTCAGCAAGACTGCCCTCAGGCTCAAGTGCATGATCTTTGCAAACCCTCTGCTGTTTTGGAATTCCCAAACTTGTAAGCGTCTCTCTTTCCCACAAATCTGCAACTGTCCACATGCCCATGTGCCGATTACCTCCAGCCCAGAAAGGATTTATTCTTCTCTGGAGCCTGGGAAGCCTGGCTAGCCAAGGCTTTCCCAACTCGTGTTTGTGCCAGGTCTCAGTTCCTGGGAAGCTCTAAACCTTGAATTGAGTCCTGGTGTTTCCCTTGCATTTTAGCTGTGAGCTTCCAATTTAGGGCTCTTGAGGCTCAGGGCTGGCTGAAAGGACTAACAAAAGACAAGCACTAAAACCAGTTCTCACCACACAGCATTGCGAATGTCCTTAACACTGATGAATTCAACTCCATGTATATTGTCAAATTGTCAGATTGAACCAGTGTCACTTTTGTCAATCATAAACAAAGAGTTCACTGAAGAAAGCCAGTTTTTTAGAGAGCATCTCAGGAATGCATAGCCAGCAGTAAGAAATATTCACAAAAGCACCCGCTAGAATACACCTTGCAGTAAGGCCACCACAACCTTCTACAGCTTATAGAGCTGCCAAAATAATTACCCAATAACTGTTTGTAGAAGCTGGGAGAAGCTCTGGTCTGGTTACTGATCTTTGAAGGCTTCCGATTTTAAACCTTTGACCAAGAATTGTTGTTTCAAAAAATATTATGCAACCTTCCCCATTTCTCCTTCAAAACCTCTACTTGCTTCAACCACTGGAAAGTGCAGAGGAACCTGGCACCTGTGTCCCATTGAAATGCTTTGCTATTACCTGTTAAACTTAATTTTTGAAGAATCAGTTTCTGTATCTTATTTTAGTGTCACAAAGAAGAAGAAACAGCATCTTCCTGTGTCCACTGCTGTTATATTTTCATCTCTGCACTGGATAATGACATGGCAAAGGTGAGGAAGAAGCTAAAGAAAGAGATGTTATGGTTGATGGTTCAGCTGGAATGAGGGGCTGAAGTGATGTGACCTCGAGCTCCAGGCTCTGTAAGAGTGGCAGAGAGAGAGAGAGAGAGAGAGAGAGAGAGAGAGAGAGAGAAAGGAGGGAGGAAGGAAAGAAGGAAGGAAGGAAGGAAAGAAGGAAGAAAGAATATGATCCCAGGAAACTGGATGTCGAATAGAGAAGGTGAAGCCCTGTGTGCTCGAGGTTATTTGCTCAAGGTTATCAAACATACAATGGAAAGAGGGCTCCTCTGTGAGCCCAAATGAGGCAGCGCGCCAATACAGATGGAACACTACTGGGAGACCTAGGACACTACCATCCTCATAAAGAGTGAACCACAGTATGCCTAGGAATTGAGGGTGTGTCACCTCTGACCAAACCCTCAGTCAGGCATGGGTGCTGGTAGGCTGCAACAGGTGTCTACCTACTTCTATACATAAAGGATTTGCAAGATAATAAGACCTCAGAGTGCAAATAGTCTGAGCCCTCCAATCCCTACCTCGGTGGTTGAGCATATGTGACAGGAAGGAGGATGGAGTAGATTGCTCTGATGATGGGTAATGAGGAAAAATTTAGGAGGAAACAGAACACATTCTAATTTTAGGATCTCTGAATTGTGAATTTCTCATTATTTTTCAAATACACAAGAGATCATTTGTGTTACTTCCTACTGTTGATTTCTAGAAGAAAATACATTTTCCAAGTTAATATGAGTCAAATTGGATCTTGACCTCCAGAAGTTTGCTCTGACTTCATGGGAGGCCAGCCACTCTGACAGAGCCTGGAGCTGGTGGTCACATCACTTCAGCCACTTATTCCAGCCCCAGTTGTACATTGAACCATCAACCATAACATCTCTTTCTTTAGCTTCTTCCTCACCTTTGCCATGTCATTATCCGGTGCAGAGGTCATCTCTGACCTCTTTCACAGGCTTATCTGCATTTGAGTCATACTAATCTCTACCCTTTCAGACCTGAAATGCACCTCCAGCGGTCCAAGTCTCACTGTCTTCATCACCTCTCTCTTTCCAAGTCACTACCATGTCTTTTGGGCCTCTACTACTCCAGAGAACCCAGACAAGGATCCACCTGCAAGCCATTGCAGATCACAGGATGCAGAGTAGTGGCAACCAACATCAATTGAGCACATTAGTGGTCTGTGCCTTTTCCTTTGGCCAGGCTTGTACATTGGCTATCACAGTAGGCTGTATTCATTCATAAGAGCCCTCCATGGCCTGCTACTCTCATGAGCAATTTGCACACCTGTACCTGGGACCCTTCTTTAGCTCAGCTGCTACGCTTACCTCTGGTGGGGATCTGTTACCGTTCTTGTTTTGCATGATCATTCCCCACATACAAACCAAGTCATATTCTCACTCTCCTCTCCCTTTCCTTCTCCCTCTTCCTTTCTCTCTCCCACTCACTTCTCCCTGTCCTCCTTCTCCCCCTCTCCTCATCTTGCTCATCACCTATGGTCTCCTGTGCTGCTAGAATAGAGTCTACACTACGAAAGTTCAATGTTCGTCAGGTCCCTGTGAACCTCACCACTCCCTCCCTTGTTGGTCAGGTTGGACAACTCTCTCCAAAAACTCTGACTATCATTTGCCAAAAGCTGTGTCTTCATCCTGCCTCAGTGGTATTGACACTTCTCTCATTTTGAGAAGCTCCACTCACTGCCCACTGAGGCCAAGCCTTCTGGGTCTGAGCCTAAGAGCTCCTCCTGGGAAGTCTTCTTATCCCCTCTCCTGGCAGCCCTGATGTGCCCACCCCACCCTATAACAGCTGTGGGGACAGCTTGTTTCCTACGGCCCCTGAGAAGCTCTCTAAGCATAAGACCCCACGTCAGCCACCTCTCTGCTTAATACCATGTAACTACCGGGCTCCTGGCCACAATGAGCATGAGAGAAAACTGCAAGCAAATTCCATGTCCTCCTGCTTCAGGAGCCATGAGAGGAGAAAGCCAGGGCCTTAACTGCTCTGCCAAGGTGGGTCACAAGGGCAGAAGCTGAGTTGCTGTTGGTAAGAGGAGAGCTCAAGGAGAAGGGGTTGTTCTTCTGTGATGCTTTGCCTGTCTTAGGGAGGTGCACCCTCAACTGGCACATGTGACAAGTCTGATGGCTCTGCGCAGTCACCAGTTTTTACAGTATCTGCCCACACTCCTGGGCCTGCCAGCAGGACATCGGCTCTTCTAGGAACTGGAAAGGCAGCTCAGCAGCTCAGTCAACAATTTCTAAGTGAGGGCCTGATGGAGAGGAGGAAGGATAGGGAAGGCAGTGTGGGGAAATGCCAGGATCCATTTGTCTAGGACCAGGTTCAGCTTGGGCAGGGAGAAGTCCAGCTGTGAAGGACCTTGTTGTTGAGCCAGGGGACATGGACAATTGCCATGATGTGAGATCTCAGGATGAATGACAAAGTCCCCAGACTCCCCACAGGTATGCGCACTGGATCAGGGAGGGCCTCATAGAAGACCAACCTTGTCAAGTGAGAGATGCTGCAGCTTGAAGGGACAAGAGGGGTGGCCAACCTCCCATGAGGCTTAGGACACTTGACTCCTCTCTGAGCCTACATTCCTACAGGTTTATTCCCTGGGGATTACAAGGTGAATGGAATCCTTGCTGTGTCACTTTTCAGCCCTTAACCTGAAGAGATTTTTATGATTAACCAGGAGTCAGCCAATGAGGTGCCAACCTGGGATTGCTTCCCAGAGGTGAAGCAGACCTGTTTGCCATTTCAAAGCTAAGGCCACATTGGATGCTCTCAGCTCTGTGGAAGCAGGTGAGAAGACACAGGGTAAGGTCCAAGTGTACCCCTGGAGTCCCATAACCTTCCTGGGTGTCAAGGGTGGGGCATTTTGGAGCTTCTTCTTTGTAGTTTGAGCTTTTATAATTAAGGGGAGGAGGCCTTGCTGAAACTTAACATTGGGCTGTTACTTGTAGGGACCCTAGAGATGAAACAAAGACTTAGGGACTTCAGGTCTATCTGCCAAAAAGTGCCATCTCAATGTACCAAGAAGTTTAGAGAGCCTCTATTAGGGTAAAATCGGTAGAAGGGAAGAAACTGTACATATGTGTATACATATATATGCACATATATATAAGTACTTCAGATAAATTATTTCATTAAAACCTGAAAACAAATCTAGAAAACAGCTATTATTTTACTCTGCATGCAAAAAAAAAAAAAATACACACAGGTTCAGAGAGGTTAAGTGACATGGCCAAGGTCACACAGATAGGAAGAGGAGGAACCAGGGTTCCAATCAGGTATTTATAACCCTACATCTTCTCTTAATGGTGGTGTCAGGTTTCCTCTTGGGTGACATCAGAAAGACACAACCTTGATCAGGGTCTCAAGGTGCCTGGGAGGCTAGGAGCTATAGGGGAACTCACATGGCCTCCTTTCTCTTCTATAGGGCTGCAGAGAAGTTGTGCGGGCAGGTATTGCCTTGACTCATGAACACTGAGATCTCAGACACAGAAGTCTCCATATGGCTCCCTATCACATCCGCAAATACCAAGAGAGTGACCACAAGTGGGTCCTGGACTTGTTCTCCAGGGGCATGGAGGAGCACATCCCTACCACCTTCTACCACATGCTGATGCTGCCCCGCTCTCTACTGCTTTTACTTGGGGTGCCTCTCGCTCTACTCCTGGTCTGTGACTCCTGGCTCCTGGCTGTTGTGTGCTGCTTTACCCTGCTTCTTTGCCTGTGGATGCTGGCCAGATACCCCTGGAGACAGTATGTGGTTAAATGCTTGCGCACAGACATGGCTGACATCACCAAGTCCTACCTTAGTGTTTGTGGCTCTGGCTTCTGGGTGGCTGAATGTAGGGGGCAGGTGGTAGGCATGGTGGGTGCTCTGTCAGTCAAGGCTCCCCCACTGGGGAAGAAGCAGTTGGAAATATTTCACCTGTCTGTGGCCTTGGAGCACCGAGGAGAAGGGATAGCAAAAGCCCTGGTCAGGACTGTCCTCCAGTTTGCCCGGGACCAGGGCTACAGTGAAGTTGTCCTTGAAACCAGTGATTTGCAGCATGGTGCCCTGGCTTTATACCAGCGCATGGGCTTCCAGAAGACAGGCCAATACTTCATGACCATATTCTGGAGGCTAGTAAGCATTTATACAGTTAAATTAACATATACCCTCCCTTCTGCACAGTAAGGAGGCCCATGATCTATGTCCTGTGTACAAGTCAGAATTCTTTCCACTCTGCTGTAGTAACAAGCAAACCCTGCTAGTTCAGTGGTATAAGCAATAAAGGGTCATTGCTTGTGCATATCTAAATCTAATGAGTCTGATAGTTTCTAGGATTGTTAGGGACTCTGTTCCATTCAGGATTTCTGGGATGCCTGTGTTTCATTTTGAAACAGGATAGATTAAGGACTATAGGCAAGGACCATAATCATGGGAGTAGATGTCAAACAGATTTTAAAATTGACTAACACATAATCCAATTAAAACACACATTTTTCTCTTAATCCTAATACTTCATAACTGAGCTGTAGCATAAGATAGAGGAAAACAAAGAAAAGAAAAAAATACCCTTGACCTTGCCTTAATCTTAGTGTGCTCTGAGAACTAGATAAGCAAACACCAGTAAAATACCTATCTTGAAAGGAGCATCTAGTGAAAGGAGCATCCTTTGCTTAAAGGCATATTCTAGAAAAGCATATATTTATATTACAATAATCCAAATTTAGTAAACTGACCAGACTTAGTATCTGTGGGCTGGATTGATAATGTCAAATCTATTAACTACCAAAGTGACTAAAATGTACCTGGTGCTCAGAATAAAAAACAAGAAAAAAAAAAAAACACTTATCTAAGGAATGTTTGAGCCAAAAGCCTCTGTCTCAATTTAAATTTTATATTTAAAATTTATGCTTACACACATATATAAATCTCCCTGCTACTGGAGCCACTCCTGGCATTTCTCCCAGTGCCCACACTACACCAGTGGGGTGTTGTGTGCTTTGCTTTGCTTGCTGAATAAAACTCTACAAGTTTCTTATCTTGCCTGTGTCTCATTTTGAAACTATTTTCTGTATCAAGAAAAGGACTTACTGGGTAGACATCCCCATTATCTTGGGGGATCTCTTCAGATTGCCACTGAAGCTCAGTGACAATATGTGTAACACCATATTAATGTTGCATAAAAACAGTAAAAAATACAAATTCAGGTGTACTTAGCTTATGAGTCTTAGGCCAGTAGTTTCTGCTGGGCTTGCATGGGCAGCTTTTAGGGATCTCATGACAAATGTGAAAATGTCCTGGGTTGACTGCTGTGCCAGGGACACTCAGCTTCATCTTAATCCAGGAGGCCAGCTCAGGCAGGGTTCAAGGTTCAAGTTCAAGGTTGCAGAGCAACCAAAGCCAAAGCAGAAGCAGTAAAAGCTTTCCCAAGTCCCTGCATGTGTTGTATGTGGAACATACCAGACTCTGGGAGAAATGAAGCCTCCTCTGTAGTCCAGAATCTGTAGTTATAGAGCAGTGGGGCTGCATGTGGCCCTGTGAGAACAGGGCCAGGGGAGTGCTCTAGGCTCTTGTCACTGCAGTGGGATAGGAAGTTGACTGGGAAGGAGTGAGGGCTATATTTATGGGGAGACCTGGGTGTGTCAAATTCTCATGGAGGTAGTTGGACCCAGTCACATGGTAATCGTGACTGAGGAGAATCCAAGCACAAGCAACCCTGTGGGTTTGGGAAGAGTATGTGGGATTGATGAGTATCCCATATTTGCTACTCTGGGATATAGCTTGGTTCCAACTTCTATTTCCAAATACTCAGGGGCTCCAGAATATGTAAGTGTCTCAGGCAGTAAAATGTCATCCTGGAAACCTCTGATACAAGGCTGAATTTGCATGTGGGTCTGTGCTGATGTTTGTAGCACTGTCTCTCTTTCCCAGCTACTTCAACTTTAACACTGGGATGCTCTTGAGTGTCCAGAGACTTGACTCATGTGCTTCTCTTCAAACCAGAGGCTGATTCCCCCTGATTAAGTAATCTAGATACTACTTATCTAGTAATTTGTGACTCTCTGGTAATATTGTATCCTGCTGACAACTATCTCCACTGAGTGAGCAACTTGGCAACTCTCTTCCAGTCATGCCTACTGGCTTTGTCACATGCCTAGTTCATTACATGGACCCTTTGCTAGGTCATGAGATGATTCTAAACATGAGTGACTTGTGTTCTGGGCACTCTGCCTCCATGCTGCTTTGGTCTTGGCCTTGATAGTCACTGCAGCAACCCATCCCAGTGCTTCTCTGAGAACTCAACCATCCACACATCTGTTCTCCTGTTCCTCCCACTACTCTAGTCCCACACTGTTCACATCAAGCATTTGTTGCATACTAAACTGTGGTTCCAACTTCATACTCAATGATGGACTCCTCAGGACAGCTTCTAGGAGGTCAGGAGGTACAGGCCATGCAGCCTCTCTCTTACTCTGCTGCCACCAGCTCTCCTTGCCCAGCAAGGCCAATGGTTCCCCATTGGCAAAGGGTAGGTATGGGGCATGAAGGAGGACCATGGTGGACTTTGGGCTCTGAATGTTTTATTCAATAGCAGGGAAATAGTTTTTTATTCAGCCAAAACACAAGTGGCAGGCCCTGGTTGGGCCTACATGACAGAAGCAGAGATGCCAGGAAGGGCAAGGAAGGAAACACTGTGATTGTGAAATGATTAGATCGCTCCCCTTGGGAGGGCAACTTGGTAGGGAATCTTGTGGGGTCTTACATACAGATTATAGACTGGCTCTGGAGATTGTCTTAAAGGTCTTAGGATGGGTGGTCCAGAGCAAAGATGAGTCCTAAATGAGGAGCCTCTAGGAAGCCTGGTCTTCCCTAGACAGTGGGACCACCCTGTGTGTGCCAGGAGGACTTGACCTCCAACTTGCAGCCATAGTGAGAACTGAGTGGCCAGGACTGGCTGAAGGAGGACACTAGCCCTAGCAGGGGGTCCCACCTGTGTCTGGATGGGCACTCAGTGAGAAGAAGCTGAGATGCTGTGTCCAGAGGGCAGAAGAGGCGAGCAGTATAAGAGATCTCTCTGGTAAAGAGGTCTGGGAGGAGACAATGTCTAAAGCCCAACCACAGGCTGGGTAGGTCTGGGGCCCAGGCAAGGGACAGTTCCTATCTAGGGAGCCTACCAATGGTTCCAATCTCAGGTAACCACATTCTACAGAACCTTGACTGAGACTGGACTTTTTTCCTAAAAGATGCCCAGACAGGGACTTGCTGTTGGATGTCAGGAATACCTGCCCAGTAGAGTTTTTGGAATTGGGTGCCCATAAAGGTGGGGAGAAGATGTGCTTCACTAGCAACAACCTAAACTATAGAAAGCATTCGGGTTGCTATGGAATCACTGTGAACACACACACACACACACATTTAGTAGCTGGGACAAGGCTGGCTGGACCACACTACACTTTGTACATTTGAGAATCAAATCTCCCAAACCATAAAACCTCACTGCAGGGGTAGGAGAGAAAGAAAAAAACTGAATGCTGCTGGAGCACTAAATTCCAGTGTGCAACTCATCAAAGGCAATCTAAGGAGCTGGCAAAGACAGAAATGTCACCCTGTAACAGAGCCAATGGATACACAAACTCCAATCTCTTCTAATAACAATAACCAATCCTCAAGGAGAAGATGCACTAGGACAGGGGTCACATAGAGCATATCTTAGAGACACCTGTGATTGTCAAGTGGCTTTACCTAACCCACTGGAAAGGAACCCCTATCTGCAAAACAGGATAGATTTGCCAATCAGAGCTCACATTAAGCCCTGATGTTCTCACAAATGCTGAAAGGTAGGGGGCCACTCCTTGGATAATTTCACTCCAAAGATATCATCCAGGTCCTTGAGAAGGGTGTGCAGAGAGCAAGAGGCTTATTAAGGTTTGCACACAGCATAAAACGGGTAAGGATGTTTTGACAATGACAAGTTTTATAAAGCCAAAGCTCTAAGAATAGGCAAAGGTGATATGTCTTCCACCACTTTTATTTGGAATAAGGATAATTCTGTGTATGGTTCCTTTTTTTCTGCCTTTGCTCTGCTTCTGAGAGCTGTGTCCCAAGACTCCTGTCTCAGACCACAAAGAGACTCCCTTCAAGGCAAACAAAAAGACAGTGAAATGGAAGTTACTTTCCCCTATTACTGGGGGAAAATGAGTATAAGTTTGCACATTCTTTTAGTGAAAATCATAACATTGAGGAAGGGAAATGTACATTAGTTAAGATAGCTGAAGGGGCTGTGTTGTTCCTTTGCCCTGGTCCCTTACCTCGACCCATGCCAACCACTCCGTCTCATTACAAGATCTGATCATAAGAACTTTTGCATACAGGCTACATCACCCTCCTTAACTTATTCCCTATGGTGAGATCTGCAGCAAAGACCCAATTCTACGACAGCTGTCAGGGTTTCTGGACCCCTGACATGATTTAGTAATTGACAATGAACTAGAACCTCAGACTTTTCAAATGAGGACATGTCAGAAATGACCTAGTTTGCAATATCTCATCCTTTTGGAGATTAAGAAATTTGTCTCAGCCAAATGAGCCACTTCACCAAGGAAATGGAATCTCCCCACCTGTAAGCTGATTCACAGCTCCCTGAAATCATCCACCATGAACTTCGGCATTCAGGAAAATCTGCCTCAAATCCTGCCCTGTTCAGCAAGACTGCCCTCAGGCTCAAGTGCATGATCTTTGCAAGCCCTCTGCTCTGTTTGGGAATTCCCAAACTTGTAAGGGTCTCTCTTTCCCACAAATCTGCAACTGTCCACATGCCCATGTGCCGATTACCTCCAGCCCAGAAAGGATTTATTCTTCTCTGGAGCCTGGGAAACCTGGCTAGCCAAGGCTTTCCCAACTCGTGTTTGTGCCAGGTCTCAGTTCCTGGGAAGCTCTAAACCTTGAATTGAGTCCTGGTGTTTCCCTTGCATTTTAGCTGTGAGCTTCCAATTTAGGGCTCTTGAGGCTCAGGGCTGGCTGAAAGGACTAACAAAAGACAAGCACTAAAACCAGTTCTCACCACACAGCATTGCGAATGTCCTTAACACTGATGAATTCAACTCCATGTATATTGTCAAATTGTCAGATTGAACCAGTGTCACTTTTGTCAATCATAAACAAAGAGTTCACTGAAGAAAGCCAGTTTT